ATGCAGATTCCTTGAATTTGGTTTTATTACTGTCTGAGAATTACACTTCCGTGAGAATTACGTTTTTTTCTGGTTCAGTCTCAAGTTTTAAAAAGGAAACCAATTAATTTGAATAACCTAGTCCTTTCCAACTGATCCCCTGATGCATTTTCCCTTCCTCAACATAGTATCCTGCCCTCTTTGTCTGATCCACCTTTGCCCAGATCCCAGGATTAATGATTTTGCTCTGTAGGTATTTATTCTTCCAGGAAAACGTTCCAATACTTTAAGTGTCTCAGAGCGACAGCTCTGATAAACAGATAGGTGTGACATGAATCCTTTTAACCCTTTGCATTTTGGCAAACACTTAACTGAAATCCAACAGAGTGTTAAAAATGCACATAGGCTTTACTGCAACAATGAAGTCACCTCCTCTTTTGGGCATGGGGAAGATCTCTTTCCATCCCCTGCCACACTCAGCCCCTGGGGCAATGCTGAGCTTCATCCTCCATCCCTGTTCCCATGCTCATCTGTGGTTGGGTGCACCACATCAATGGCCATCTCTGAGGACACAGCACCTGCACCAAAATACAGGGTCATCAACTGGAGAGGAGAAGACTCCATGGCTCTGCGTATCAATCTCCTCTACTAGATAAAATCAGGGCTCTTCATTTAAGTGCCAAAGTCCTTGTTTGTAGCCAAAAGCTGCTTTGTTAGCTCTGGCAGATGAATTTGGGTATTTGAATTATGGGGCTCTGGGTCCTATTTCTGATGTATCCTTTGTCTTTAGGGCAACGTTAGGTCACTTATGGGGTTGTTACATGACAAAAGGGCTTTAGAGGGTGAAAAAGTCACATCTTGTTTGTAAGGTTCTCTGAACTCTGTTTTTATTTTAAAAATCTCATTTCATACCACCTATTAACTACGTGCAAAAATCATTACTGCCTTATCATGCTGTCAGGATTAAGGCAAGCAAGTTGTACAAGAAAAATGGTGTGAAGTTTTTAACACCTCAACCTTTTGACAGAGCAAAAGTCTTTAGTTTCAAACTGAGGTGATCTGAAACACCAGGGAAACAGGAAGACTGGACAGAAAATTGCAAACCAAAGGAACTGTTATCAGGGGAGGCCAGCCAGCCCATGTAAGCAGTTTTAGAGGTTATATATCTCTAAACCATTTTCTGGTAATCTCCTGGTCCTGCCAACATCAATGTCAAAGCCTACAGCCTTTGGTGGAGTTGGAATTGCACCCTGGTTTATAATTAAATTTGTTCAGGCCACATTCACAATTAAATAAACAAACCAATTAAAATGGCAGTGAAGTTTATCTTCAGCAGGTGCTCAGAAATTGTCTTAATCTTCCTTGCTGACTCATTGTCTGTATACAGCCATCACTGGCACTATTGGAAAATGTCTTCTTCACAAAAATTGAAACAAAATTGTTTACAGCTATAATTACTATTTCAAAGAATTTGTATATTTAAGGAAAATTATGAGTAAAGTTCAGCCTGGCTCATGCTCAGAAGTGCATAAACAAGTACATAAATAAAAGCAGTAAAAGCTTCCAAAGTACCTAGGCAATTTTGGTGAACATGGGCCTGTTCTTATTTGTACAAAAGGTTTGAAAACACTGTCCATATCATCTGACACGGAGTGACAGATACTTTCTAGTAATACCTGTGTAAATACTGTATATTTCTCGTTATACTTTCAGTAATTATCCTATTTTTCAGCTACACAGACAGTGACAGCAGTATTTCTCTTTGCCTGTGTTAGAGAGGCTCTCCAAAGATTTTGGACTAGAATAAAATACGTGCATGAACTTAAGTCCAGAAGGGAACACGAGATCATTCACTATGACCTTCCACACGCAGACTATTAAATGTCACTGAGTTACCAAACTACTGCAAAACCAACAAAATCTAAATTCATGGGTCGTATACCCTATCTCAGAACTCCCAGTATTTCAGACAGCTGAAAAAAGTCAATCCTGTCATCCTTGGAGACTCCCTCATGTCCCTGGTGAGTATCTTCTGATACTGATGTTTTTCTCTCCTTGTCTCCTGCTCCCAGCCTACTGCGAAATTTGCCCCTATCCCAGGAAGACCAGAAGCACTTAAATTCCCAAGAAAAAAGTAAAACTCCTGTATACTTTTCGAACCCGCTGTACGGAGTACTTTGAAGGAGTATTTTAAAGAATGAGGCAAGCAGTTAGATTCTCAGTCCTATTGATTTGAAATTGGGGTGCTTCTTAAAAGGAGGTCTGGTCAATGGAGCACACAGAACAAGTTGGCCAGCCAGGCAGTGGGTCTCTTCTTCAGAGTGGGCTGGATCGTGCTCAAGGTCCATTGACTGAGTGACTACACTGCTTACCATATTGGCTGTCTAGAGAGGGGAACTGGGCATCTGGCTCATAGGCATATACCTACATTAAAATGTCTCAACCAAGGAGTCTTCATCTGGAGCTGAGTCACACTCCTGAGCTACTTCAGTAGCTGCCTAACGTACAATTCATCTCCTCCTTAAAGAGATTAGGGGACTCGCACTAGCATTTAACATTTTCACATCAGTCTCATAGCAAGGCACACATGCGAGAAAATAACTTTCCAATTATCTAGATTAATCTGTCCTAGAGTAAGAGGTAAATATAGAAAATACAATTATCCTAGCAATCATATATTCAGTCAAAACTAGAATTTTAAGTAATTTTGTTGTCAGAAATACAGGCGAAAGAGCTCTGTAATTCTCCAGACTCTTACAAAAGCTTTTGAAGAGTACGACCAAACGTGTCCAAAGTCCATAGCAAATATTACCTTAGTTTAGCACTAAGATGTCTGACAGATTTGGCTGTAATCAACATCCTTGCCTAACCTCAAACTAAGTATATGATGTTTGCAGTAAAGCAAATTATATTTCTCTGGAGCAGGCCGGTTAGAGACCAGCAGATCATTTACTACAGCTATTCAGGATAAAGCTTTTAATGCCTGCCCATGTAGTAGGTAAAAGACTGAAGAACCACAGCACAAGTTCTACTATACTGCATTAACTGAGGCACCAAAAACAGCAGTGAAAGGATTAAAACTCTCCTTGGATTTATAAAATAATTGAATCCTGTGAAGTACTTTTTTTTTTTCAAGATACAAAATATGAGCAATTTAATTTTCTCTTGACTTGGCTTGTCTTTGAATCTTTTGTTTTCTGCTCAGCCAACACTGCCCTTATGAATGTAAAGAACACTTCAGTAGCATTTTTACTCTACACCTGAGTATATCAGCAAAAGATTATTTGAAAATGCTTGGAGCACAAAATCTATGTCCTCTGTAAAATCATTTTTTATCTGCATCAGACATAGACCATTGCTGTAGGACAGCCACTGGAACAGAGGAGATCATTGTTCTGGCTGTGAACTGATGTACTGCACTTTCTACAGGTTCTTGGATCCTCTGAATAAGCTGTGACAAAACCGTGAAATGCTTTAAATCTAGACTTGGAAAAATATAGTACAAGATCTTTATCTGACATGCTACTCCCTGTCTGGTGTTCACATATCCCATGAAAAACAGTTCATGTTGTGGCTGAATTGCTATCAGCAGCTTCTCTCTAAAGAACAGCTTAATCAAATCTGAGGTCACTTCACAGACTGACTGCTGGGGAAGTGTTATAGATGATCTTACAGAGATTTACATGCTGGAAATCTAGAGGTTTTATATAGACCCTTTTCTGAAAAAAAAATAAATTCCCATAAATCAAAACTTCTTGGGGGTTTAAATTTTCTATCCTGTTTTCTACCTATTTTTTTTTTCCAGGGTTTATTTTCATCTTTGTTTTATTTCATTTGGGAGATGGAAGCACATAGCCATACAATGTAATAGTATCATGCACAAGTTACAGTGTCAAAAGAATTACGTGACCCAGTTGTCTGCTAACACAGGACATTAAACTGCATCAGGTAGTTTCTCCCCATTCTGTGCTCCATGTAAGCTCTCATTGTTTGAATTGTCCCATCGACACTTTGAATTTATTTTTCACCTTTCCTACATGTGGAAATAGCTGCAGAATAACATAGATAATTTTGTCAAATTTAGCTTAAATGACTTAAAAGTCCTATCTGCACGATTTTGTCTCCAAATGGACATAGGTACTTCTAATAAAATGACCTTTGATCTTCCATTTTCAACAGTGGGCTACTTTCCTGTCTAGAAGACCAGAAAACAATGACCATACTGCTTAAAACCATCATCAGTCTCAACATACAGTATGAAGGATGAAGGACTACCTCTGAGGTTGATGAGTCTCACACAGATACTGTCAGTGGGTGAATTTCCACCAGCATCAGCTTTTCGTCTCTTTTAAATCCAAGTAAATCGCAGGTTATAAACTGTGGGACCTACCTGAGAAGATGGCATCTTCAGTAAGAACTTGTTTATTACCAGGAAACTTTTCTATAATACAAACCATGTCATCTTTCAAGTATCTTTCTCAGGTCTAGAAATAATTTTTTCTCTTTGGGGGAAAAACAAAGAAAGAAAAAAACCTACCACAAACTTGACCGCAAAGAGAAGATCACTCTCACCTGTCTGTGCAGCCAGCCTTCACTTTCATCTTCATGTTTCTAAAACAAAATATGATCATTAAATACCACACTTCGCATTACCACATTTTACTTATCAGTGCAGGAAGGAGTTGGATTGAATCTGAAAAGTTGTGCAGAAGCACAAAGAAACTGCTTAAATATGTAGTGTAACCTTAAGCTTAAGGAGTGTAACCCACTGACAGCTCTTCTTGTCTTTCCTCTCTGATGAATAAGCATGCACTCATTCAAGAAAGCATTTTAATCATACAGACAAAACACATAAATCCACAAGTTGTATTATTACCAAAGAAATAAAGCTTGTTGAGAAGCAAATTAAAGTTGAAATAAAAGTTGTTAAGGAAAGATTCTGCACTGTGCTCTACACACAATATTGCATCATTTTTTCAAGGGATAGATATATCAGAACACTCTTCTACTCTGGAAACACCAATGCCAGTTTAAAAGATGATATCTGCTAATACTTACATAGGTTATATCAATGCACTATTTACATTAATATGTCTATAGAAGGTATTAATTAACTAAAATTAAATTGTGGGTAGATGAGCATGAGCCATTAAATACATATAATGCCATTAAACTAGAATGTTGCAAAGATATTCAGGTTACAAACTGTTGATTGGTTTGTGCTTGTGCATGTATACGGTTATTTCAAGACAAGTAACAAGACTCTTGCACACACATGCAGAGTGTGTGTGTGTACAGGGATATACTGTTCCTGGCTTTTTAGAAGGTGTAAAAAAAGAAAAAAAAAGGTAAATATTGCAAACATTGTTTATATTCCGTGTCTGCCAAAATAAATGTGTACCAGCTGACTTGTTACTAGGCAAGATAACTGAAATACTTTCACCTCACCTGAGTTACGAAAACTGACGGCAAACGACCATTTGGCTCATCTCTCCTACCTTGGTGCAGACTCCCGTGGTGGCGTCACAGAGCGTCAGGATAGACACGTTCTGGGCCCTGTTCAGCCAGTTTACTGCCACCTTGGTGCTGGTTGCCCATTTCACCATGGTTATATAGTAGTCTCTGCAAACACAGACATACATAAATCACAATACTGACATCCTAATGAATTGCCACATGGCAGAGCAGTCGGAGGCTGCTGCAGGCAAAAAGTCCAGGAGAGACGTTTGGTTATTAAGAACACTGCGTCTTGATGTCTCTAGGCTTCCTTATGTATGGATTTCAACCCCTAAAAATGACATTTTTAGGGCTGTGCAGGTGTTTTATCTGCCACTTCTGAAAGTCATTTTCAAAGAAGAGACAAATGCAGAGATAAAGGATCTTTCAAGCTATTCAGTCTTCCAAGAAGGACTGAAGTGCCTGGAGCTACAAATTTATGCACAGGTGGAAAAGAAATCGCAGTTTCCATTCTGAGCACACTAACCATCACTGCCAATGGTTGCATTTTTTATACTTATGAAGAGTTAATGGTCTCTAAATATGCCTACTACACACTAAAATATCCACAGTTGTTGCATTAAAAGGAAAATAGCAAGAAGGATAGAGTTTACAGAGACACTGCATTCCTGTGAAGCAGATGCAGCTGGTTGCCACAAAGATGTCAGCAGAGATGTGACAATTTACATCGGCAAAACCCCATCCCACATTCCCCATACCATCCCCTATGGCTGGACATACTCAGGTGGTGATAATACTTGGCGTAAATCACCAGTGTGGGCTGCACAGTCCTGTAATCAATATCCTGTGCAATACTGAGCAATGGAACCACTCAGGCTGGGCTGGGCTAGAAAATACAGGATCACAAATAAATACACTGATGGTTGCCTTCTCAGAGCCAGCATGCGGTGGCACTCACAGATGTCCACCTCTGCAGCAATTCAGGGCTTCACCACTTACCTGTAGCGTAAAACTCTGGCTGAGCTGATGAAGCTGGTGATGTTATTATATACTGCTGGTCTATGTGGGCCAAAGACATCCTTAAATTATAATATGACTTTTCACAGCATACAGTCTATAAAAAATTTATTAGTTCATTTGTTTGCTATAAAATATGTATAAGGAATTGTTGCTCTCATTGGAATTAATGTGCTGTGTCACTGGAGAGTACTTTGTGTTCTGGCAAGCACTCCTGCCTATACTGAAGAGAAAGGGCAAAAGCAACAAAAGCCTGTTTGTCTAGCAAAACAACAACTTGGAAATCAATTTTGTAGTTTTAAGTAATGTTTAGTGCCTGAATTTGGCTGGGGAAAAATAACAAAAGACCTCGACGATTGCATCCACTGCACTGGAAGGAAGAATACTTCCAGGTGAGACAACAGCAGTCTGAAAATTCAGTGCCTAAAATAAAATTGTAATTTTATTCTTTATCAGCAACAGCATAGGCCCTAAGAGGAAAAAAACAACAAAGTGAAATTAAACTGTATAACCATCTCCTCTTCCTCTCCAAAATTAACTGAGCAGATTCAGTCTCTTCAGAAAATGAAAGTGAATTTAGTACATACCGTGGCTTGGAGCATTTTTTCTATAAATCCAATTTAAAGTTTGAAGGACATATATTCAACTTTTATATCCCTCTCACTGTTTGAACACAGGAGCCACAGTTCTTTCTCAGGAACTTTTAATTACTATTTTAGGTCAAACATTATCTTCCCTACCACCCAAAAGACGGGCACAGAGTCTCAGTTTCTCTCTGAAGCCTCTCCCAGCCATCAAGCCCACGGATACCCCAGCCAGCAGACAACTGCAGATACTTGTAGAGTTATTATTCTAGTCTCAGAGTAGTATGGAGTCTTTAATTTACTTCATTCCACATCTCTTCTGTAGGAAAACTAAATTTTATGTATCCCATTTTGCAGAGGAAAATGAGACAATAAGGTGTGATTAATCTCAGTTAATTTTAAACATCTGCAGCTCCAGCAGCTGCACTGGTTGAGCAGACAGTGCAGACAAATGAGGAGTCAGTGCATTTCCCAAGCCCTCTATGCCTGACCTGATTTTATACGGACCTGATTTAAGGAGAAACTATTTCTTCCCACAGAGTGAAATCTAGACCAGCAGGTATCTGACCACTTCATGTGTAGACATCCACATCAGAGCAGGTTACACCCTCCCAAAGGAAAAGAGTAACAGCCCCTTCAGGAAGGGCGCAGTGATGCTGAGCTTTGCAATGTATTTCCCCATCCCAGTGAAGACGGTGGTTGGGTTTGCAGTCATCTGAGACTGGTTATTGTGCAGGACCCCTATTCATACCCTAACTTTACTTGGCTGCTTTCTGGAGGTATGAATCTAAAATATGAGGTATAAATCTACACTATGAATACTTAAAGCATGACAACAGTAGTAAAGCCATAAACACTACAAAGAACTGACAATGATATATTATGTGGCCAAGTGATAGGCAGCAGCCCAGCCCACGGTCCCTGGGGCACAGCCGGCTCCTGCCTCTGATCCAGACTCCAGTTGTCTGAGTTTCTCCATTATTTATTTGTTCATGACCTATGCAAGGACCAGTGACGATTTCTGCACTGAGGGGAGACAACATCTTTCTTTAATTTGCCACCTGGGATGCAAATATGATGTGAGAAATAGGATGGATCATGGTTCAATTCTGACCACCTGCTGATGGAACTCCTGGGGACCAACTGTTTTCACCAAAATAAAAAATGCCTGTCAGGCATTAAATGTTATAACACTTTTTTCCCTCTTTCCTTTCATTTTCTCACAGGAAAACATGGCATTGGAGAAAATGTGGCAAAGATGGTCAGAATGAAAGATTTTTAAAAAGGAAAAATTATCAAAATTGTACATTTTCCCCTAAAATATGTTTTCCCATCATCAGCTTTGCTTTTTTTTTTTAAAAAAACTGGAAAATATCCCAACTCTGTGGAAAATTTCTGACTTCCTTTAATTATGAAAGAAAAAAGACCCTAGCATATCGCCACTTTACTCTCAGCTTTATTAATTGTACTAAACCACTTTGCTCCAGATAAAAGGAACACCAAGAAGCACTGCTCTGTCCATGTATCATCTGCATGAGCAGATTGAGCACTCTGAAATGCTTCAGATAGGACCGATCTGCTGGAAGATCCTTATCACCAGCTTCCCTTGCTTCTTTGAAACTCCCTTCTGTAACTAACTGCAAGGTACATCCCTCTTGTCTATTTTAATGACATGTTATCATGCTAATTCTCTCCATTCAGAAAATATATGCATAATGAAAATGCACGCCTATTGCTCTAACATCTAGCAGCACTACTTATATCACACCCTAGGGATGGTGATTGCCATGATTTTGATGAAATATACAAAGACTAATTAATTATGATATATTTTGCATCATTTTACAATATTGATTACAACCAAATAAATTACAACCACCCATAACCATATAGAACAAACTTATTAACCACACTTGGATCCTGCAGTCTGAAGTTATTACCATAATTAAAATGCTTCTGAGTCTCTCTGTTTTCAGAGTATGATAGCAACAGAAAAATTATATTGTCCAGGAGCTGCTGTTCTGATTTCCTGATTGGGATACTGTGATGAGAATACTGTGATCCTGAATTGCTGCCTGCTGTACACAGGTCTGAAGTTGGATTTTTGAAAGGCAAGTGCATTTATGCCCATTTGGTTTGGTCACATGTCATACGCCTTTTGTTGCATAAATGGATTTGGAGTATTTTAGAGTTATTCAGTGAAAACATGTTCTGAGGCTGACACTAGCTTTCCTAGCAAAGAAAGGCAACTCCCACCATAACCGATCCCACTGGTTTAGTATCCTCTCATCAGATGACTGCACAGCCTATCCGCAGGCCTTATATAGTTACCATGCATAATGAAGATCAGCCTTGCACATGCCCCTGCCCTCCAAGCTGCCCTGTTTCACTGGCTCTGTGCTGTACCTCTGTCTTTATTGGCACCGGAATTACAGATCCAGCAATCTAATTTAGCAATCAGTAAAAAAAGGTGAACATGCATGTTGGTCAAATGCTCCTACAGGAACAAGTGATGGGCCTGGGAGCGATAATCTTGCAGCATTACATTTGCAGGGGTCAGTACGGACACTTTAGATATAAAAGCAGAGACTGATTTCTCTTGGCCTGCTATGAAGTTATTTCAAGTTTAAAACAAAGTTACTGAAATCTGGATTTGGATTCTAATCTCTGAGCTTTGCAGGGAGGAGTGCCATGCATTACTTAAAGCTGCTTCTCTCATGGACGACGTGATCTTTCTCTCAAGTGTTCACAGACCCATAAATGTAGCTCAAGCTTTGACCACACGCTGAAGTCCAGGACAAACTTTTAAACTTTTTCTACATGCAGACTTATGCACTTATTTAATTAGAAAATGGTGTCTAAGTAATTGGCTGAATTGCACGCCGACTTCTAAAACACACTTGCCCTAAAAACAGCAAAGAGCTTTCCTTTTTATTTTTAATGAAGATTGGGTGATGTATTTGCAGAACGTCTGCCTGGTTTCATTCCTACGTTCACATCACGAAGCAGTGAGCTCATGTTTGCTGTTGTAGGGCTGCTCTGTTTCGACTTCAATGTCTTTCATATAGGCTGAAGACAAAATCCCTTCTACAGTGCCTGTGATTACATGTGACATGAATGTGTTCTACAGATTTGGGGACATTCTGCCAAGTTCTCTAAAAATAAACCTGCTCTGAAGTTAGTCTGTGTCACAGTGATTTAAAGTAAAAAACTAATAATGTTCTACAATTACATGTAATAAGAAAAATAATTTCAAAAATTTTAAGCAGATTTACTCAAAATGAAACTCTATGATAGTGGCAGAGAAAGGTACTGTAAAATGATTTTGTAAAAAGTCACAGTCTGATTTAAAACCCCAAGAGAACTGGGGTCCGGCATCCCAGGGCAAGAAAGCACCTACCTCATTCTCTGATCGTCCGGGGGAGTCATTTCCAGGTCATGGGTAGGTCCGTTCAGACCAATCACATGCAAAGAAATAGTTGGATTTTCCATTCCAGCCTGGATTTTAAAATAAGAACAGATTACCATATCTTATACAACACAGAGTGGTTGGATTATAAAATACATTCCCAATGACTTGACTGCTGTGGTTGTTCACAGGGAAACTGCAAGTGTAGTGACATGGCACAGAGGTGTGGAAAGGTCAGTAGGCACAACCAAGGGGAAATTTTACTTAGGACACCTCTAGTCTTCGTAAAAAATGCTATTTTTCATGGTGACTAGAAATATTGCTATTTTTTATATCTTTGAGAAAAGGTTGTCTAACAGGATGACGGTAGATATAGTAAAATACTGATCCATTTTTTATTGCAGAGAGCTGTGCCGGTGCTGTACCTGTTGCAGGACTGCTCTACAGGTCTCTGCAATCAAGGAGAGACCAGCTCTTAAGGCTTTTCTGACTTTCACTATGTTCTTTGTAATGCTCAGGCACAACATTACTCCAACACCAGATTTATCTCCTCTGACATTAGGCCATCCTTGATAATCTAAGGAAGCCCAAATTCTACAGTTTCCTTCTGTATCAAAGAAAATGTAGCCAAATACAGAAATGCTGGCTTCCAAACTCAGACACCAACAACTTCATTTTAGCATGGAAGCACAATTGCTTTTGTGTGGGTAAAAACCAAAAATACTTAAATTTTATTGTCATTGTATTTAGAATGACTAACGCTTGAATCAGTAAACTGCAATTTCACAAATGCAACTAAAGAGTAACGAAGACAACATTCACTGGGGAACAGCTGATCTTCCCTTAGATCCGTTTATTTTCATTGCTTATGAACACGCACTATTATACAGTCTCCTGTCTGAGCCAATGAGGAAAAAAATTTTTTTTTTTTTTTGATAGAACAACAGGAATGATTGTTTTATTTTCCCTTACCTTTGGATAATGATACGTTTTAACAGTAGGGTAAAGGCTGCCAGTGTATACTGGGATCTCCATGGTGGGGACTCTGGAGGCATTAATTGTTGCATATGCTAACCTGGTGCCATCAGGTGACCACCAATGAGCAATATGAGTCTTCAAGATCTCCTCTAATTAAAAAAAAGAGGCAAGAACAGAAAAAAAGGCTATTAGATGTAAATTACCAGTTAGCAATAAATGAAACACTGTAGATATGAAAATCCCAGTCTAATCACAGCACAAAGAGGATGCCCAGGAATAGCAATTAAAAATACTCATTAAATTACACCATATACACAAATTAACACAACTGATAACAATTACTCTGAATATATAGGTTACTAAGCATAATTATCTTGTTCAAGAAACATCAAATTATTCATATTAGTACACATATTCATGACAGCATAAAAGGCCCTGCTACTCCTGCTAAGTGTCCCATACATGGACATGTGAACATCGACAGTGTGCATGTTGGCAGAGCTTGGGGTTCTACCTGCCCGATGGTAACATAACCGGGGCCCTCTCGGGGCTAACAGGGAACTGTAATGACTGAGACTTAATGTAATGAGACTTAATTTTCCTCTATAAAGAGTTCACAAAGTCATACTAGACACATATCAATAGATTCAAACTGTGCTTATACTTAGACACAAGTGCTTCAGCTACAATTTAAATCTTCCTAAACTCTGTTGCCAGTTGGGAATAAACAAAACCAGCAATTTTCTGTAAGTTATGCAATGCTGCAACTTTGAAACACTTTACGAGATACCAGGCTTACAGTCTGTGGCTTGGATACAATCTTGACTCATCCCTATTTCATTTTTGAAATCACTTTTGCAATGCAATTTTCCATAAGTAGCCAGGGTCAGAGACTGATCCTTTTTACCACTGAATTTTGGGATTACAGATGTTTTGGTGATTTGAACAATGTAGTTGCTATCGAAAAGGTACTCAGAAAGATGCCAATACAAACATGTCAAAGTTCAAGTATGTAAGGAGAAAACAAAATTGCCATCATAAGAAATTATTTTGAACACTGGCAGAACCTAATTCTTACTAAACACAAATTCAAAAAACTTGTAATTTCTAATACTTTTTCTTACCATTTAATATCCTTCATTGCAAAGACGACTTCAGCTTATAGATACCCATAAAATTTATAAAATTCACTCTTTGTCCAAAGTGTCTCCAGTTACTGACATTTGGAAGACACTAACTTGGCTTTTTAAACCTCCCATTTTGCGAAAGGCAAGAATGTAATCCATTTTCATTAAGAGGCTTAATATCATGAGTCATTCCTATTTAAACCATAGCAGAAGGGCTTGCATATGCCATCCAGATTGATGGGCAGGAAGACAGTTCCCATTGCTTTAATGTGAGAATAAGAATTAGAGAGGCTACAGAGTGTTCCTAAGCCTTCACCACTGAAGCCCTGTTACACAAGTCCAAGCAGCTCCAATGTCTGCTGTTATCGCTGGTCATTGCAAAAATGAATGAGGTTTTCACAGTTCAGACCCACCATGTTTGTACACCCCCTATGATGACCCCTCGATCCACCCAGAATGTCCCTCTCATCTGAAAAGCAGAAACTCACCGAAGACTTTTAAAAAAACCTGGGATGAATGATCCTTGGAGAATAGACAGACAACTATATTCATCATAGATCAAGTGAACACCTTTGTTACTCCAGCCTTGCATACGGCTTGAGAAAAAATGCAAGGTAACATCAGAAAGGGTGCAAGGGAAAATTGCCCTCGACAGTTATGTCTTCTACAAGTAACAAATTAATACTTCACAGCAACATCTAAGTGAGGTTTCGGAAAGATGTCTAGGAAGTTGCAAAAGGGAAAGCACATCTCTGGTAAATTTGCTTTGCTGCATTGTCCCCCCTGTGGTGTGCACATTTAAAAGATGCTGCTTTTGACTTTTATATTGGTTGCTCATTAAAGAGATAATTCAGAGTATAAAGTAAAAGGAGTAAAACCAGTTGGCAGATGAATCCTTGACATTTTAACATCAATTAGGAATGACTTTATTCAGCAAACATTTTCTCTAGGATCTCAGACTTAATGAAGCAGTTCTGCTGAATGTCACATGCCAAGAAAGATTTTAGTGCAGGTTTTGTGGTCCTCTGTTAATAGGATTTAATTGTGTGAACTTTTGCCTTGAAACAAAGCCAGGACCTTACCATTATTAGAGAGATCAATTAGTTTCAGCAAACCAGAGAACATTCTTATTAAATATAAAATGCATTAATACCAGAAAGTTTCAGCTGAAAGTAAAACAGATTTTGCAGACAATTTGTTCTTGGGAACACTTTATTCTTTGCATTTACCACATGCTCAGAAAATCAGTTGCATTCAATACTCCTGGGTCTTTCTAAAGTCAGTTCAGAACCCACTTCACATATATAAGAAACCAGGTTCTCCTTAAACACCAAAGCCCCCCTCCACATACACCTCATGTTCTCCCAGCTAATAGTATAAAGTGATAGTTGATCAAAACTTTTGCTCCCTTCCTTAAAAGCTTGCAGTCACCGGGCGCTCCATGCTGTAGGGATGCTGTGAGTGAGCTGCTGAGATTCCTCACAGTCAGTTGCTGGTGGCTCTGTGCTTCTTCTTTCTCTACAGCTTTGCTTGCCAGCCATCACGCTGGGGCATGCAAACCCTAAACCCAGTGAGAATGAAGTGTGCAGTTGCCCTACCTGAACAAGGTCTGCAACACTGCCCCTTCAGACTCGGTGGCTGGGTTCAAGTACATCATCTGAGGCCAGTTGATTACTCCACGTTACCACATTCAATACTGAACCATCCTGAAACAGCTGGATAACAGCTTGTAAGCAGTGACTCTTTGGTGGGGACATGGATTAGCCAGTTGGTAATCCAGTGAAGTGCTTATGCTCAAGGAATGTTTCCAGATGTGATTTTTAATACCTCTCCTAGCTGAATAAGACTCAATTGAATGACCATTTCAAAGCTGTGTGAAACAGAGAGTCTTCTAAGTTAACAGACCCTCAGGAAGAGCATTTGAAGCCCAAGGTCCGAGTATGTTCAGTGACAACTGGGTATATATCCATTTTAGAGACTTTGATATCACTGGATGAGAAAAGAAACTGGAGGCAAAAACAGGTGTGATGAGAGCAATCTTCCCTGAGTTAAATTAAAGGCTGCTGCATTCCGTGCATTATGTAGGTGTTAGTCTTTGGTATCAAGACCTGAATAGCATCCAGAATGAATCAGGCTGCTCTCAGCAGCAACGCCATGTTTTCCGAAGAACCTGTTTCCTGACAGATGCTTTCCTACTTACTGTCAGGAAGCAGAGAGGAGAAGCCCCTTGCTGTGGCTCTCAGCAGCCAAGTAACAAGACGTGATGAATCTGGGTTCAGCATCATTTGGCCATGGTACCGTAAGGGCAACCCTTGGATGGACTGCACAGTGCATCAGAGATTGAATGGACATTTCTACTAGGTGTGTTATCCAAAACTAGGCCAGCACATGCATAAAAGGAAAGGAAGCGTCTGCTTGTTTCAAACTTTGAGTTAATGACAGCAGTACTTGCAAGAGCAATGAAATAGGAGACTTGTATCTTACTTTAGGTAACAAACATCTCAAGGAACCATAGGAAATAGGGCTGGAAGGGATTAAAAAAAAAATTTCTGGCTCCTTCCTCCATGGACAATATCCACCCCAATCCTGTAAGAATCTTCACAAGTGGATTTTACTATTTGTTTTGCATAGCACCTTTAGCAGAGGTCTGGACATAGTCATCAAACACTTTTAATTTTCATGTCCACCTCTGTCTAAGTACTTAACAGTCCCACTGAAGTGTGTCCAGACCTCTGCCTTTCCTTACAGAGTCAACACGGGGAAAAGCATCAGGGCTTTATCTTCTGCAACCTCAGTGGTAACCAGCAGATTCTGGATATAATCTGTCGTATGAACCACATTTGTAAATCCACACAGATGGTTTTAATGTTGTGAACCATCATCTGCCATTGTGGTATTTCTGCACTATGATAACTCCAGTTCCCAGGCTTGCTCAGAGTTCTAGATTGGCAGAGCTCCTCTTTGTTACTAAGTACATGTGAACATCATGGCCATGGGCATTTCTTCACGCATTTCTAAAAATCTTAACTAGTTCTGCAGCCTTTGTCCATACTGACCCATATTTGTGAATCATGCCTTCCTAAAAAAAAGGTGGCAAAGTTCTGACTTGCTGTTAGGAAAAGGATGAAGCCTTCACCAGTGACTGCCTGGGAAATCCATTGGTAGCTTAGAGGTTTCTTTAAATTTTTGAAGTCACCACAAATAACTTGTAATTTGCAAGTGAATTACCAGAAACAGAGACTTGCACAAGAAGACAAGGATGCTGGGACAGACCAGTCCTCTGACAGGTACCATTACGATCCCTTTCCATCACTTCAGAAAAAAAAATAAAAATGAACATGATGTCAGGAAGAAAAACTAAGGAAAAGGAATAAATAATTTGCAAGTGAAAAAATGTATTTGTTTTTCTGTCATCACAGTCAACAGAGGTATATAGCTGTATTTGTATGGTTTACCCACTGAGGCTATAACTTTACAAGCACCAATACCCCAATTCTCATGTACAATGGAAACAGCTGGAGACACCACCCTGATTGGCCACTTTCGCTTCTGCTCTGTGCAAGGCAGGATCCTGTCACTCCACAGCCATCCTCCAGATGTGCCAGTGCTCACGAGCCCACGTCGCCACTCCTTGTTGGGAGCGCAGTGGTAACCGTACGCACACAGCCCCACTGGCAGGGGCACATAAAGCCAGGAGCGAGCAAGTCAGTGCAAGACTGGTCCTCAGAGCTTGTCAGTCTCTAACTGCTAACGTCTTCTAATAGGAAGGCCCAGGAAAATTACTGCAACGAATGCAAAGAAACTAATCTTTTCTCTTCCAAGAAAAAACGACTCGCTCATAGATCTGTACTGCAGATAAAGAAGAGATCTTCTGGAAACCTGAATGGTGTGTCCACCCTTGGTGAAGCCCCTCGTGTTATATGTATGAGCTACAGTTAACAACTGCAGTGTTGTTAACTTCAAAAAAGTAACTTCCATTTATAACAGCTGAGGTGTCCTTGGAGACTGAGCAGAAAGCATTT